TAACAAACTACCCCCATACTTTGTGACTTGAAACAACAAACTTTTTTTTGGCTCACATATTGCAATTTGGGTAGGGATGGTGGGCCAGCTCAGCTAAGTGTCAGTTGGAGCAGCTCAGTTGGGACTGGATGATCTACTTCCAGCATGGCTCACCCACACAGTTGGCAAGTGGTTGCTAGTTCTTGACTTCTTTCCTCTCTATGGGGTGGCTTAGTCTTTCTCACACTATAGTGGCTGTGGTCCAAGATTAAGCATCTTAAGAGACAGGTAGATGACAGTTTTCTCAGGAACTGGTCCTAGAAATTGTTATAGATTCACTTCTACTATATTCTAGTAATCAGGAATCCAGAACATAGGTCTATCTCTTGATGGGAGGGGTATCAAAGAATATGGGGGCCCTTCTTATTAATTTCAGAAACTGCACATATTTAATATATACCTTTTTATAGCTTTGAACAAATACATACACCTATGAAATCACTATCCAATTGAAAGTGATAAATATTTCCATTGTCTCCAAGAGTTTTCTTGTGCCCCTTTGAGATTTTGTTTTGTTTTGATTTGACTTTTTTCCTCTGGTAATATACTTCACATGAGATCTACCCTCTAAACAAAATGTGAAGTGAGCAATATACTGTTGTGAACTGTAGGCAGCTCTCTGGAACTCATGCGTCTCGTGTAAATGAAACTCTATACCCATTATGCTAGTTAGTTTTCTGTTACTGTAACAAATACCTGAGACAAACTTTTAAGGAAGAAAGGTTTATTTTGCTTCATGATTTCAGAGGTTTTAGTTCATGGTCACTTGGCTCCATTGTCTTTGGGCCTATATCAGGGCAGAACATCATGGCTGGGAACATGTGACAGAGGAAACTGCTCACCTCATGCTGGCCAGGAAGTGGGTAGAAAGAAGAGGTCAGGATCATAATACCCCCTTCAAGGACAAGGGCCTAGTGACCTAACTTCCTTCTACTGGACCCCACAACCTAAAGGTACATTGGGCTGGGGACCTAGCCTTTAACACAGACCTTTGGAGAACAATCCAGATCCAAATATATTAAACAATACTCCCCATATCTTTCTTCCATTAATTCCTGAAAACCTTCATTCTACTCTTCTCCTACGAATTTGAGTATTTCAGATACTTCATAAAAGTATAATTATGTAATATTGTCTGCCTGTGTCTGACCACTTAGCCTAATATCCTCTAGACTCATCCATGTTATCACAACTGGCAGGATTTCCTTCTTTTTAAAGGCTATATAATATTCTTTTGAGTGGACAAATTATATTTTCTTTATCCATTCATCTATCAATAGATATTTAAGTTGTTTCCTTATCTTGATTATTGGGAATAATGCTGTAATGAATAGGATTTTGAACAGGTCTTGATTCTAATGCTTTTGGATATCTACCCAGAAGTGGGGAGGAGGAAGGATATTTTAATTGCTATAGTAGTGGGCTAGTAAACAGGGGACAGGATTCAAACCCAGGCCTACCTAAATTCATAGCCAATCCTTTAGCTTCTAAATGTTCTTAGCATTTAACACTTGTTCCTTCTACTTAGTGGCTCATCTCCTTTCTTGTGTGATGCTCTGGCCTTCATAAAACATACACTTGAAGAGAGTATTCTAGCACCTTAAAGACAGACAGTCTACACTGGTGTGTGATATTCAATAAGTCATCCCATTAGTGGCTATAAAAGGGGATAAATAAATTTGTAACTGGAACTTATAATTTGGGATGTTAAAATATTTTAATGGTAAAGATTCACTTTTTAAATTTGTATTAACTAATCAATAGTCAGAAAGGGGTTAGCTGTGTTAGGTGGCAGATAGGAATGTGTGAACAGAATATGTTTGGATTCTGGAGAAGGAAGAAAGCTGAAACCTGGGGCTGGCTGATACCACAGCTCAATAAATATGTGAATTTATAGAGAAAGAAACATCACGGCATGGTGTTGGTCAAGAGTAGACATCTGGAAGCTGGAAGTCATTTGTGGGAAGAAGGTGGAAAAAGGATATTTGGGAGAACAATGGTATTCTTTGGCTCTTGAATAGTAGATACAGGGACCTGGTCCTGAGGTTGAGGTACCAGAGAGGTATTGGTAATGAGGTAAGAGATAAGTGGGTAAAATTAGGATATCAGTCAGAAAGAGACTAGAGAGTGAGTTGGCTTGATGATGGGCCATTAAGCCCTTGTCTTGAAGACTTCCTGAATTCACCAGCTCCAGTGCAATGGGAAGGGGCCATAAGTAAGTCATAATTCCAGGGGTTCTGGTTGATACCCAGAGGTTGTGAGACAGACTTAGGCTTTAGATAAAAATAAATTTTATTTTAAAAACCAGCCCCATCACATTTGGCATCTTGTTTTAGAATTCTTATCCTTAGTTTAGCAGTCTGTAAAATTGGGATAATAATAGATATTTGAAAAATTTTAAGAAATGTTACCAAGAATGCATACCAAGTTCTCAGCACATTGCAGGTGCTAGTATATAGTAGCTAACATGAATAGTCAAGGATGGAGGAAATACTTTTCATGGGAGTGAATGGATGGAGCAAAAATTGAGTTGGATATTTGTGTTAGAAGGAACCAAGTTGTGCCTTGCACCTAAGATGGATGCTAAATTTACCTCCTGGGCAAGATTTTGTGCTCTGAAATTCCTTATTTGCCGTAGACTAGTTCTTGTTGTGTGGTCAATCGGATCTGGGTAGTATGACCTGGATGTTTCCGTGTGGGTACATTGTTCAAAACAAACACCAGGGACTAAACTTTGAGATAGAATTATAGAATTTTAGAGCTAAAAGGAATCTGAAATGGTACCATCATAGATAGTTGAGACCTAAGAAGGAAAAATGACTTACTTAAATTCACCCAGATGGTCAGTGGAAGAAGAAGAACTGTAACCTGGTGGTTAACTCTCAGTTTTCTAGGGTGGCTTTTCAATTAGTACCACTGATGTACAAGTTGCTTCACGTTTCAATAGTAATAATAATAACAACAAAACAATAATAATAATAACTGTTATTATTCACAATACTTATTAAATGTTTGTTATGAACTACTTATAGTGCTTTATATTTATATTTCATTAAATCCTTACAACCATATGATATAAGCACTATGATTTTCTCCATTTTTGGTGAGAAAGCTGAGGAAAAGCACCCAAGGATGTGCCCAAGATCATGGAGCTAGGAAGTGGCAGCTTCAAAGTATGGCTCCAGATGCCCTGCTCTTGACACTAGGCCACACTGCTTCCTGTGCATTTCAGTGGCTGGGAAGATAATGACTATGTTGGATGGAAGGTGACCAGGGAGTGTTCAGTCCTGGTATAGTGGCCTTCTTGCTGTCCTTTACTGTTGTTTCTAAGTCCTGTCTGACCTGCAGGGTTTACTCTACCCTGTTCTTTAGAATAATTGTGATACTCTTTTGTTGCTACTTTCCGTATTTTGGATCTTGAATGTCTGTCCCCCAGAGTCCCATGTGTTTGATCTCTGGCATGGAGCACTATTAGGAAATGATGGGCCCTATAGGAGGTAGGACATAGTGGGAGGAAGTTAGGTCACTGGGGGAAAGCCCTTGAAGAGGATATTGGGACCCTGGCCTCTTCCTGTCTATGTCTTTGCTTCCTTGGCTGCCAGGAGGTAGACAGGCCTCCCCCACCATGTGCTCTCACCATGATGTACTGTGCTTCTGTAGGCCCCAAGCAACAGAACCAAGTGACCACAGACTGAAACCTCTGAAACTGTGAGCAAAAATAAACCTTTCCTTCTTTCAAGTGGATTACCCTGAGTACATTGTCACAGGGAAGGAAAGATGATAGCATATGACTTTTCCATTGATCCTATTCAAGTTATAGTTCAGCTCCTCCAGCTATACACTAACAGTTTTACTTAATTTTACATAAGGTTATTATAGCTAAAGCCTTTGCTGTTTAGATCCTCCAGCTATACACTAACAGAGCTTTCTTTTAATTTTGCATAATGTTGTTACAGCTAAAGCCTTTGCTGTCAAGGCAAAACATTGCCTTCCAATAAAAAGGAAAGGTGAATGACGAAGAAATTGAAAGCCTCCAGACCAAGTTTTTCCTCTGGGTCCTGTGTGTTCTGGTTAAATATTGTGAAATATCTCTGTAGTGAGCTGAAAGAGGGACTTCTTGAACAGCTGAAAGATTGTTTTAGACAGAGAAAAAGAAATTTGGTAACAATAATAACAGAGGATAACCAGACACATGAAAACTAGAACTCAATTTTCCAGTATTCCTTGCAGCTAGAGGTGATCTTGTGAACTACTTCTGGCCAATAAGGTAAGAGAGCAAACTTTCACAAGATATCTGATAAAGAGTCTAGGCAGGGGAAGAGAATATCTATCTCCTTGAACTTGTCTGTGATGCCAGAATTGTGGTTCTCATCTTGTGACCATAACAGAACAAGCATGAAGATGCAAAGCTAATACGCTTAGATTAGTAGAGCAGAATTACAGAATGAAACTGAGTCCTTGATAACATTTTTGAGCAGCTAAAACAATACCAGCAATAGCCTACTTATGATCTTGTCATGTGAGAAAAATAAAACCCTACTTGTTTGCAAAACAAACAAAAAAAGTACTGTGATATACTGTGATATTTCTTAAGTGAAAAAAGGTAAAAAAAAATTCTAAGAGATTTGCAAAAATTAGGGAATGAGTGAATTAGTTATAAGGGTAATCAGAAGCTAACAACTCTGATTAAAAAGGCAGCAGCAAGCTACTGGGAGAACTGAAGAATGCAGTCAGTTCGATAGCTGGATTTTAAGTTGAACTTGTTCCTGTTTCTGCAACTCCAAATTGGAAGTCTCAAACAAATCATTGCTTACCCTTCTGGGGACCAGTAAAAAAACAAAAAGCTGACCAAAAAAACCCAGCAAGGTAAACTCTGTGAATGTTGTCTCTGGATTTTCTGCTGTGCACAGTGGGAGCTCTTTACTACTTTGCTGAGAGGCTGATTCTAACTTAATTTTCAGAAGCTGGCTTTGGAAAGCATTACCCTGTACCCAGCTCCCTCACTGAACACACCAGCCTGCATGGGAATGTGCTGTTGTGCACTTGACATCTTCTACAAGGTAAGATGCTAGAGAACCTGGTCTGAACTGTATTTGGTGATTCAGAGATCAACATAATGCCTGACATGTGAGTGGCATTTGAATCAGTAGGGTCCTGGCAGAAAGCAGATGGTGCACTCAAATTTAGTTCACTGAAATGACTATTTACAAAGGTGTGAGCGTATATAGGGAACTGGATGGTATGGTGCAGCACCCTGAGTTCATGAGAGTGTGGAGCCATTATCACCCCAAGTCTAAAGGATGCTTAGGGAAGAGGTGGCTGTAATCCCCAAACACAGGCAGCTATGGGTATATTTAGGGCTGCAGCCTGCTCATGGCAACCCCTTAGAGAGGAATCTGGGAGAGTCAGCTCTTGCTTTCCTCCCTCCTTTGATCTACTGCTGATGCTTCCCAGTGATTGACTCAAACTGGGTTCCATCCATAGGAAGATTAGAAGATAATCTGTATCGTAGTGTGATTTTAGGAGGGATGGCAAGACCTTTTGATCCCAGCTATCCCCAAAACCTCTCTCACCTTGTAGCTGATACCTGAAACTCCATCTTCATTGCTCATTTCCTTGATTTGACTTTATTTAGAAGGCAGTGCCAGCTAGGAAGAAGAGAGGGGACTGAGGGATAACAAGATAAGGTACACATTGAGGAGAGCATTATGCCAATACAGAGTTGGTGCCAAATTAATGCAGTTGGTAGAGTTTGGTTTCCTGAGATACAGTGCTAGATGGACAAGGGTAAAGAATGGATATAGAGAGGTGAAAGGAAGATCTCCAGCCACCACTTATAAATATCTGTTGAGCAAGTGAGTGGTATGTTCTCTTAACATGCTCTCCAAGGAGTTCCTCCCCCTCCTTTCTTACTCTTTCCTTTGTCTATTTGCACCTCTTTCACTCACTCACTCACTAATTATTACTTGCTTTGTACCATATGCCAACAGTGCTAAGTGGCAGGAATATAACAACAGAATCCATTGTTAGAAAGAACACATTGGCGGTGGGGGGGGGGGGCTACTGGGGTTGTGGCTCAGCAGTAGAGTACTTGCCTCGCACGTGTGCACGTGTGAGGCCCTGGGTTTGATTCTCAGCACCACATAAAAATAAATAAATAAAATAAAGATATTGTGTCCATCTACAACTAAAAAATAAATATTTTTCATAAAAAGAAGGAACACATTGGGATAGGATTATGACAGTATTATGATGACATTTGGTCAGTAGCACTTCAACAGCCACACTTCCTTGCAAGGTTCCTGAAGGAAATACACGTGTGGAGAATAGAGCGATATAAAGCAAAGTATCATTGTTGGTGGAGACTGGGAAGTTGTGCTGGAACATGTGGAAAGCCTCTTCTTGCCTCACCAGGAAGGCCCAAGTGGCTTAAGTCAGAGAAGGCCAGAGGTCTTTCCTTTCCACCCATAACTCCTAACCCCAATATTGACATAATCATTCCTACTGGAGCAAAAGCTGCTTACTTCTCTCTACCCTGGTATTCAGCCTGTTCCCTGCTTAGGGATTTTTCCTTCTGTACCCCTGAGGAGTTTTAGTACTACTTCTAGGCCATCTTGTTTCTCTCCATAACAAGACCATCCATAGGAAGATTAGAAGATAATCTGTATCGTAGTGTGATTTTAGGAGGGATGGCAAGACCTTTTGATCCCAGCTATCAAAACCTCTCTAATCTTGTGGCTGATACCTGAAACTCCATCTTCGTTGCTCATTTCCTTGGTTTGACTCTATTTAGAAGGCAGTGCCAGCTAGGAAGAAGAGAGGGGACTGAGGGATAACAAGATAAGGTACACATTGAGGAGAGCGTTATGCCAATACAGAGTTGGCCCTCCTCCTGGTCTGGTGAGATGCTCTTCTGTGACCCTGCTGACTCAAGAGTTCACTGTTTTCTCCCTGCCTCCCTCCCTCCGTCCCTCCCTCCCTTCCTTTTTCATTTATTTTTGTGGTTCTGTGACTTTAACTGCAAGTATAGGTTTGTGTAACCACCACTACAATCAGGATATAGGCCGATTCCTTCACTCCTCAAAACTCCTTTGCTCTCCCCCTTTATAGTCACACTTGTCCCAAACTCTTGCAGCTGGGAACCACTGATCTGTTCTCTACCACTATCATTTTTGTCTTTTCAAGAGTGACATATAAATGGAATCATACGGTGTATAACCTTTTGAGACTGGCTTCTTTCACTCAGCATAATACCTTTGAATTTCATCCGACTGATGTGTTTTAAACCATCTGGTTTTGTTCTCTCATGGATTGGATCTGCCTTCACTCAACAGCACATTGCCTGCCATCTAGAGACTAGATCATTGTTCTGTCTGTTGTTCAACTCTTATTAAAAGCCTGTGTTTTAATCAGGCTCATTTGTTTGCAAGGAATACTCATTCAGCTTCCCCCTCAAAAATGGGAGTTTATTGTAAAGATCCAGGGCTCCTCTGGGAATCCAAATAAAGGAGGCTCTTATCATGGTCAGTTTTGGAAATGGGAGGTGGTTTTGGATCTAAGACAGCTTTGAGGGAGAGTTTGTAACCACTGTATCTCCCTTAGAAGATGCATGGATTGCCTCTCATCCTGTTTCTCCCTTTGTATCTTTGTGCTCTGTTTTCACTCTTCTCCTGATTACATGCTGCATCTACTTTCCTTTTGCATTTAGCACATGGTCTACCTTTGCCCTATGATGGTTTGACAGCTGTCCCTGCTTCCAGCTGGAATTTTAGATTCAAATTCCTGAGGAACTATCTGATTAACTCTGCTCATCTTTTGAGTCGGATATCTTTTGGGTTTATGGCCATCTGATAGTCTCTGGCCTGCTTGGTTCTAACCACCTGTGTCCGGTTCTGATGGGGTCATGGTGGACTGGTAGAATAGATTCTTTAGAATGGGGGGAGATGAGGGTGGAGTGGGCAATGGTTCATGGTTCTAGTATTTTCCATTAAGAAAACACTTTTTATGTTTCTTCTTCAGATATTCTGTTGTTCATTTGATCAAATTAGGTCATAGGAAAAGTGTATTTGGTCCATCTTGGTTACCCTTCAGCAGACTGCTTTCACTCAGCTGTTTTATTACCCTGCTGACTCTTACCAAGGGAAATTTCAAGGAAGAGTCCTGTTGAAATTGTGACTTAATTTTCTGTTTTGAGGACATTATCTATATAGTGCTTCTAATAGGAAGCTCCATGTGAGAAATTTGTTTTAGGTATGAACTTAAGAACACACGACTTCCCTTAAGGAATTGGCACGTTTCCCTCCTCTTAACCAAGGAATACTGAATAATTAATTCAGTTTCCTTTTGTTGGTGCTCAGAAAACTCATTCCCAATCAATCAATCAGCTAGAGCAGCTATTCAATTTCTTAGTGTTCTTGGCCTTATCTTGACATTTTCTAATTTTTCTTGATCTTTAATTTTAAATACATGTTTGTTCCCTGTGACCCATCATATAAATGTTAAAGAATGGAGACACTGATAAATAAATAAACAAATAAAATCATACTAGAGAGAACACTGGGATATGGAGTCTAGTTCTTGGACCCAGACTATCATTTGACTTGTTCCATTAGGTCTTTTCCTATGATAAATGTCCACTGAGCTAATAATAATAGTCATAGACTTTTTAAGATAGAGAAAACCTATCATGAAATATATATTGGGAATTATATGAAGAGTTCTAAAAACTTATTTGTATCATCTCATCTAATCCTCATAATTCTTGTAGTGTTGTGGTGTGAACTGGTAAATACAATCAATAAGAGTGTAAGTTATAGGTTATAGATTAGTAAAAAATATAGACTATAGATATAAGATTTTGATAAGTGAGATAAGATAATTATAAAGCAAGAACTGTCATAGACAGGCCTAAGTCTCCATTTTGCTGCCTTCTGTTAAAAAATATAAAAATAAAAAAAACTGTTACAAGAGCTGTTTCTGAGAAACTGAAATGAAAGCTGTTTTCTTATATTGTTTTCTGTACTTTGTACAAAATGTACTCAACCCAGGTTATGGTGGTCTTGGTGACCCAAGACTTTGAAGTAGATTCTCGCCCCTGCTAACCACCTCCTCAAACTCAGGATACAATTGTCTACCACACGCTCAGATCCCAAATGTGGTTAACTGAGTTGCAAATCTGACTGCTTTTTTTCTAGCTTCTGTGATTGGCTTGCCTGCATGACACTAAGGAAAGCCCCTGAGTTGTGGTTTTCATTTTTAAATTCCCAGGAAGCGGCTGTTCTCCCACAGAGCTCTCATTGATTTGAGATAAATAAAATAAAGCTCTCATTGATTTGAATTTGAATTTCTGAAGCGGCTCCCCGTAACAGTAGGAGATACATATTAGGGTAAGTAATGATGAGCTTAAAGCTTCGACTTCTCCTGTAGTCTTTGGTGGGCTTTCCATGGCTCACATGTAATGTCAATGCTGATATTCTAAATGAGGTTTTTTATTTTTAGTGTCTTGGTTCTCTCATCTACAAGTACTTAACTTATCTGACCATGACCAGGGCAGGAATGGTGCCTAACTCCTTTGCCTAGTGGGAAGACTAGAAAGGCAGTTCCTAGGAAATTAATTTTTATGATAAAGATGAGATTTTACCTGTAGAAATTTGTGCTCACCCTTGGAGCTGGGCATGGATTAAGAAAAAGCTTGTTTTCTGCCAAAATGTAGGGCTGGCTCTGGTAGACCACTTGGCTTTCTTTTGAGGGGATGGGACTTGAGAAGGGGGCCATTGCTTGAAGTGTCTCTGGAGTCATTATTGCTGACCTGGCCTGTATCTGTGAAGGGACTCACCCATGCTCCTCAGCTAGGAACTGCTCCTTGTACTGTGGGACATTTGGGAGCCATTAGGCCTTGGCTGAGGCTTTATAATCTTTATTATAATCTATCATGGGGCCCATAAATATTTAGCCAGAGAGACTGCCCCTGAGCACCAGTGACGGAGCAGGTCAATAGCAGGTCAACCGTTTTATAAAGCCACAAGGGGCTGCTTAACACAGTAGTACTTGACAAGGCATC